TTGCTTCATAGTGTTGTGCTTAACCCCTTGTGCCACGAGGGAGGACCCTCTTCTGTTCCTTTTACATGGAACTCCTTTCCAAGTCCTCCACTCAGAAACTAAACTCCCAATTTAGGGCTTTAGCACTTGCTGTTCTATCTGCTTTACACACTGATTTTTCAAAAGACAGTGGCTCACCTCTACACTTAGGTTCCTACTGAAATGAGAACACCCATAAAATACCACCCCATCCTCAAGCCATCACTCTATCTTGTTACCTCACTTTTCTTCTTGCACTTAGCCCAGATACTCCATTATATACTTATATTTACTTGATAGGAATATCTCCCCCAGAATATTAACTCCTTCTAGGTAAGAACTTCATTAGTTCACACCAAGGACAGTGTGTGGCACAAAGCAGATGTCCTATAAACATTTATTGACTGAAAAAAAATCTATTGGAACAGACAACTACATGCTTTAACAATTCATTCAGAAATTGTATTTGGACTTCAACTCATAACACATGATTTTCTTCTTTCATCAGATCATTTTATCCTGCCTGCATGATAACAAAATTGCATTTTACTTAAGTCATAAAATTATTTATATTACATACCTAAGCACTATAACTTCTCCTGTCTCACTTATAAAAGTATAAAATGCCTACTTCTGTTTACATTTAACATTATACTTTACATTAAAATATGCTACTCTTAATTTATTTTATTTATAATGTATAAATTATATTAACTTCACAAATCAATGCACTTGAATTTTTCCACCGTTAAAACATTTCAAAGGATGTATCCAATGCAGTAAGACAACTTAAACTAAAAATAACAATGAAATATAAACACATTAAAATAGCACAATACTTATAATACTGAATTAACTCCAAGGACACTAGCTTATTGTAACTAACAGTTACACTTTATGCAACACATATTTCATATTAATTTGCCTGAATTTTTTTGATGGAGTGCACAAATGTAACATACTATAAAATAAAAGGAAATGGGGAAATAACGTTTTATAAATCTGAAAGATACAACAGTTTTAAATGTATTACTTTACAATCTTATCTATTGCTATGATCTTAAGTGAAAACAATTCAGATTAAGTGGTATGAACTTAGATACCACAAAATAATTGTATGTAATTTTTAGCCCCTATACCCTATTCTTGACATAATCAGTTTTTATTCCAAGTCTTATGAAAAATGATTAGTTAGCATGATTCAAATAGGAGAGAATCTTTCATACAATATCTCAGCCCCCATTTCATTTTGACCTGAGGTGCTAGTCAGGAATCTAAGTAAAATATTAATTCATTCCTGGCCAGCCTTCCATTCTTACAAGTTTATATAATGTGAAGGATAGTCACCTATATGACTCTCAATTCAAGCAGATAACTTTGATTCCCTCCCTCCCTCCCTCCCTCCCTCTCTCTCTCTCTCTCTCTCTCTCTCTCTCTCTCAGCTATAAACTGAGGGCTCAATAAAAAAAAAAAAACTAGCCACAACCTCTTTCCTTGGCATAAATATATATATAATATATATTATATATAATATAATATATATAATGGACTGTGCAATTATCTGAAATTTCCCTAGAAATGTTTATTCATATAAAAGACTTGGAGCTTATTTATGACCTTTAACCTGTTGTTTTAAATATTTAGAAAATTATTGCATCATTTCTTTGAGTATATTTTTAAAATATCAGCACCCAAAAGCTACATGTACTCTTCCACAGGTTTTGGTAGCATTAATCCCTCTATATCATTGAGTACATTGGAGTTTCTTTGTTTTGATTTACCTATTAATATCTTATCTTTTCATGTACTATACTCTCTGCCTCTTCAAATTTATAACCACAAAACTTGTTCTTTTGTGAAATATGGGCTATACAACAAACCTATTAGTTCTTATACAGAAGTCAATACACTTTTAAGAAATTTTGCAAGTCTATGAAATACTAAGACTATGCAATGGAATAACATACTCATCAAGAGAATATAGTATAGCTACATGAGGTGATATGAAAAAATATTTAAGATACAATGTTAAGTGAAAACAGTTACCAAACAAAATGTATCCTATTTCCCTCTGCATAAAAAAAAACAACTATATGTATATGCTATATATTAGTTCATTTATTTTTGTGTCTATATAGAGTAAACTTTCTAGAGTCATGCACAAAAAGATTATCCACAGTTATCTATTCTCAAGAGAAATAGTAGATGCTGGGCAAGGTAGCTTGCATTTTATTCTAGTCTATTCTATGTTTAAACTTTTCAACCAATATCTTGAAAGAAAAAAATTTTGTCAAATGCCTTACAAAATATATATAACCTTTGACTCCTGGAACCAAACCTACAGAAATTATTATAAATTTGAAATTGGTTTAGATAGTATGATACTAGAGTACTATTAATAAAAATGAAAGTAGGAAAAAATATCAATAGCCAAGAGTAGAGAAGTAGTTAAATGAAGAGAAAATCACAGTATGGAATAATGCACAGAAATTATACATGTTCATAAAGATTAATTAAAATATAAAATTGTTTATGGTACAACATTAAAATAAAATGCAGAGTATATTTTACAAAAATATGACAATATAAATTTATGAATTCTAAATTTAGAAATAAAAAGTCTAATCAAATGTGTGATATTGTGTGCAGGTGATAAATCTATTGTTAATATTTAAAAATGACTTTTCTCTATTTTCTAAATGTTATTTCATAAGCTGTTAGTGAAAAACCAGCATTAATGAAGATACTTGGACATATATTAGAGCTTAAGAATGAAAAAAAGTTGCAAAATCTTCCCATCTACTTTTGAACCTACCTTCATAACAAGAAAATAAAATTTAAAAAATTATAGATACTAACAACTCAGGAACAGAGGTTTTCCAATATGTTTGAGAAAAATAATAAAGTTTCACACTTTTCATTTCATAAATCAAAGGAAAAAATCACCCTCTTCTAGATTACTTGCAGTCTACATTAGTTACATATTACTTTACCAAAAGATATCTACTTAAAACATCCAAGTAAACAATCAAATTTTATGAAACAGAAATAAAAGAAATAATAGTACTATTATCTATGTTACTACTGAATTTCAACATCTCTTTTTTTTATAGTAGTTACCAAATTGGCATTATAAGTACCAGAACTAAACAATAAAATCCAAGTTTAAAGACTTTAATTATTTTAATCAAAGAGTTTCAATTATACTTTAATGAGAATCTTGACTTACATATAGCAAAATCCTTTGGAAAACATTAGTGGTCTTTGTGTTATAATCCCAGGGGTGGCAAACTTCTTCTGTAAAGGACCTGATTGCAAATTCTTATGGTTTTGTCACTGTTGCAACTACTTAACTGAGCTTCAGATCAACAGCAATTACAGGTAATAAGCAAATGAATGAACATGCTCTATTCCGATAGAATGTATTTCCTGACATGTAAATTTGCATTTAATATAATTTTCACATGACCACATATTTTCCTTTTGATTTTTTTTACTAACACTTGATAATATAAAAAATATTCTTAGCTCACAAGCAATACCCAAAAGTGGGGTAGGCCAAGTTTGATATCTACAGGCTGAAGTTCATAAAACTTTTGATTCTAGAGCTATTTTTGATAACTTATATGAAAGTCATATCCCTTACTACCTGCCACTATCTGGAAAGTTTTCATTCTTCATTCCTTCCACTTTCAAAATCTTATGTAATCTTTAAAATCTCCCCCAAACACATTCTTCAAAATGGATACAATTTTCAAGATATTCTTAACCAAAAGCAAATCTCCTCCTTTGAAGCCCCTTCTCTTACATATATCCTATTGACCATGGTGCCTGCAGATGGAAGGTAAATAATAGTTGAATTGAAAAACACTAGAGATTTGATCGATATTCTCATTTCCTAGAGAGAGGCCGAGGGAGTATCATAAAGGTTTTTGAGTCCTAAAAGAAATACTACAGATATTAGAAAGTATTCATAAATTTTAAAACACAGATGCATTTTGGTAATATTAAGATGAGAAAAATAATTTCAGTGTGGGACCATGTTGGCAAGGGAGAGATGAGAAAGAGCAGGGAATGGACATGTGGTAGGGCAGAGTACTATGTGAAAGCCAAGAATCTGGCAGGTCCAATCTGTCCACAGGACACAACATGGTCCTTATACTGCACTCTCTCTTAAGTTGAGAAAAGTATCAGAACTTCCGTGTGTCTAAGGTACTAGGATCTGACTGAGCAGGGACACTTCTTACTCTTCCCATGTCAAAGGAAACCAGCCCACACATTTGAGAGCCCCTTGGAGCAGGAAGTTACTTGATTTCAGAGAACTCAAAGTGAAATTTGGCATTTTCTATGAACTTTTCACTGTGAAAAGTTATATATGCCATTTTCACATATATAACAGGAAATTTTTAGATACTCTGGAATCATTCTGCTCATATTCAAATCCTAGGAATGCGCCTTATAGGCTGTATAATCCTTAACAATTAACTTCTCAAGCAATAATTTTATCATGGAAAAGAGATGAGGATTATAGTGCCTAATTCACAGGTCTATTGAGCTGTTGTGGGGATTAGATGAGTTAATATCTATAAGTGTTTAGAACTGGCACACAGTAAGAACCTATTAAATGTTAGCTTTGCATATATAGCTAGTATTAATGATCTCTAAAAAGCCACACATACCCTTGCCTTCAGATACATACTGTGTTTATTTGATTCTTGAGATAGAATTACCATAAGAAGGAAATTACAGAAAATAGGAAACAGGCTTTATAGGAAGAATCAAGTAATTTTTTATATTGCAATAGAAGGAAAACAGCAAGCTGATAATACATGTATGATTATGTGACAAGGAGAGAAAAAGGTAAAATTTGAATCCCTCTGACATTAACACAATAGTATTTCCCAAGCTTGGCAGAATGCAATGGCCAAAATCAGCTTCCATGCATGGGAATGATGGCAGGTCAGCTCAACAGACATACTTACCACCCTTCTCCACCCTATGGGCACCTGCGTTTTTGTCCTTCACCTTAGTATTGCTTCCTTCCCAAAGCTTACTCTTAGCCTTTTCTTTTTCTTCCTTGGAAACACGCTTCCTAGACTTCTCAGATATATCCTCTGCAACCATTTGGGTAACTTTCTTTGTTTCTTCATCGAGAACATTCTCTAAGCTTTCCTCTACGGCCAGAGACTTGTTCTCCATGTTTGTTTTTATTATTTTCTGGTCTTCAGTTTCAATTTCTAGGGCATCCTCAGCTAAAAGATGGAATTTTCTTGGCCTATCATTTTCACTCAGCTCCTGAGAAGATAAACTTCTGGCACTTTCATTGGGACTATTTTCGGCATGGTCTCCCCTGGTACCCCATGCAGATTCATCTTCACTGGAGCTAGAACATAGGTGACTTCTGAATGATGTTGATGAAGCACTTTTTGTATCTACGAGAAAAAGTCATCGTGTTTTATAAATTAAATTCTAACTCTGGAAATTGTTAGTAATTAATCACATTAAAATGTTTAATATGATTTGGTAGATTTCATACCTTCTCCTTATAAATTCTACTCAGTTATCATCATAAAGAAAAACCTATATAATCATTGCATCTATGGGAATTTTCAATAGGAAATCACATTTAACCAGGTAGCTATTTTTTTCCTGAAAGATATTTTATTGGAAACCCTTTGTAAAAATCCATTTTATTATAGAAGACATTCAATAATTATTTATTTGTTCAGCAAATAAAAAAAAAGTATTCTTCAATTATCACCTTGGATAGCTGCAGTTTTTTCTGGATATAAAATCTAAAATGTTATCTACTATAACATTATACTAGTATACCCTAGTAACTGGGATGGCAGGAAGATATAGACATTTGAACAATATCTAAATATTTCCAGGTGTGGGGTGTGTGTTTATAGAAGTCATCTTATTTGAGGTTCCTCAGAAGCAGGAGCTGAGAAGAAGATTCATGTGATAGGGATGCATTCTAGGAGACACTCAAGAACAATGAAGAAGCAGGTCAAGGAAGGAGGAAGGCAATTGAGGGAGCTATTTCAGCAACATCTCAACCTCAGCCTGATCCCACAGGGACCTCTGAAGCCTAAATTGTATTCCAATTTTTGCTCCCTGAGGCAGGACTTGGTCTTTCATACTTTGCTCCATTCAGAAATGACTACAAACCACCCTAGGGAAAAGCAAACTCCCTGGCACTTCCAGACTTCTTAGTGCCTGAGGGTGAAGCAAGTCAAGTAGCCCAAGGCTATCCTCTGAGGAAGGCAGAGGGTGCAGAAGCTGGGAGGTGGATGCAGAGCATCTGCAAAACACCCCAGGAGACCCAGGCAGCACACAGGAGAGATGCCAGATATTGCTACGGATACGCAGCCCAGAAGCCTACTGGATGCAAAAATGGCTTAGTATTACCCAAAAAAAAATCATGTAAAAATCTCCCAGAAAGACATACTGTGAATCACTCCAGGGCAGGTACATAGCCTAAAAGTCACTGTGTATAATCTTCCTGAGGGCCAGAGTGATGCAAACATGCTTTTGATTTTTAATAGGTCTGTGTTATAAGTTTTTTTATAATTTATTTTCAATAATAATAAATGCTGTCGAGCTTTCTTGTTTTCTTTTCTCTCTGTATTCCTTACTCTTCTTCTTGTTTCTTTTCTTTCTGGTTGGCAGCTACACAGATGCCTGCAGCAGCTGATGTGAGTTTAAGGGAAGAAATACCTGTCTTTGCTCTTATCCTCTTCTCTCGGTCCCTCCAGCCCCAGAGGCTCTCCCTGACAAGGCTCAGCATTTTAAGTATAGTCACTGAGACATATCAGAGTTTCCACACATTTTCAAGAGATGCTTCACAGGAGTAAAAAACAAACTCTGAAAAGCCTTTAAGCAACAGAACCCCTAAGTGCAATCCCATTTGTTCTTATCTCCCAACTACCTTGACAGGCACTGGATGACCATTGTTTCTCAAAGGAATCACATACTCTAGTCACTCATTCTTTATCTCCATTTTATAAAATCTGGATATGCTGTCTTGCTCTAGGGAATTTAGCAGATCCAGGATAGTTGCTCTCCTTTTTATCTGCACCAGCTCAGAAAATTTAGGTACTAAATTCCCCCCACCCCACCCCACCCCACCCCCATTAGCATCTCACATTTGTTTGTTTTTTTTTAAAGAAAGAAAATAATTCCTGTTTGCCAGTGGTTTGCTAGTGGCTTTCATTTATTGCATACTTAACTACGATACAATGTAATACTTGTTCTGCACTTGCAAAAATATTCCTATCCACCATCTGAATACTGACATGAAGACTTTCAATTTTAACTGAGTTGTTCACATAATTAAAAAAGTGAATACACCTCTATTTTTCTTCAATAGTTTCTACTAATTGTATTATTTTATTTCAAAAGGCTGAAACATGCTATGGTTTAGTTTTGAGTCAGTTCTTTAGAGAAGAAAGATCAGGAGAATGAACGGCTTCAAAGTGGCAAGGGTAGCTGATCTCCCTATAAACTCATTTCAGTTTTCAAATCTCTCTAACCTCGTGGTATAATTTAGTTTCACTCTCATATCTTACTCTCATTTTCATACAGACACTACAGCGAGACGTTGCCTACAAGAAAAACTCGAAAAGCTTTAGGGCCAGGGAATGGGGTTTTTCAAAATGAATTTTATTTATTCTCTTAGAAATAAAGCAAGTTTTATATATAAAAACTTTTAGATAAAGGAACTTTAGGGCACGTATGTAGTTTCTTTTTTGTCATTAGGAGGGAAAAAGTTATCTTGGAGGCCTGTTGGTAATCAACTCTGCCTCCCAATTCCATTTGTCTCTTCTGTATTCCCTCTGGGTTCTGATAAGAAAGAATCTGCTCTCAGTGTTTTTTATTTTATTTTATTTTTATATATGCATTAGGTACTGTCAGAAGCACAGAAGGGTGAGAGGATTCACCAGAGCCAGAGTGGGGAACAGAACAGGCAGACTGATGAAGTACACTGCTGAGGGGAACAGTGGGTGGCAGGAGAGGTCTGCGCGCCATGTGGGACCCTCGCCAGAGGCCAGGGATCGAAAAGGCACTGCAGAGGCTGCGGGCAGCATCTCAACCCAGCGCTCAACTGCTCCGCCACCAGGGAGGCCCCCCGCTCTCAGTCTTTATGGCAAAGAATGACCTGCACTCAGCATATGAAAAAATGTTCAACATCACTTGTAACCAGGGAAATGCAAATCAAAACTACCATGAGATACCATCTTACACCAGTGAGAATGGCATATATTAAAAAAACTAGCAACAACAAATGTTGGCGAGGATGTGGAGAAAAAGGAACTCTCCTGCACTGTTGGTGGGAGTGCAAACTGGTCCAACCACTATGCAGAGCTGTGTGGAGATTTCTTGACCCACTAAACATAGAGCTTCCATATGATCCAGCAATTCCACTCCTAGGTATTTACCCAAAGGACACAGAAACATCAATTCCAAAGAGCACCTGCACCCCTATGTTTATAGCAGCACTGTTTACAATAGCTAAGCTTTGGAAACAACCCAAATGCCCAAAAATAGATGACTGGATCAAGAAGATGTGGTACATATACACCATGGAATATTACCCAGCATTCAAAAAAGATAAACACATGCAATTTGCAGCAACATGGATGGTGCTGGAATGGATCATGCTCAGCGAAATAAGCCAGAAAGAAAAAGAAAAATACCAGATGGTCTCACTCATAGCAGGAATCTAGAAAACTTAAATAAGAGACCAGGAAAATGAATAACTACAAGAAAGTGAAAATCAAAATCAACAAAAAACTATGAACCATAGACACTCTATGGGGGTGGGAGGCGGGGAGGGGAGGGCTTGGGGTCAAAATAAGGGGGTTGCAATTGTATGGAGAATATAAAAATAAAATTTATTTAAAAAAAGATATGTCCCAAAAGATAATGTGAAAAAATAAATAAATAAAAATAAAGATTGAAGTAGTGCTTTAAAAAAAAAAAAAGAATGATCTTGGCCAAAGCCATCAAACTCAGGGCAGCGTTACAGATCCTAAGAAGCATCTCTGATTTTTCTCTCATCATATTCAGTCCCCAAATCCTTCACTATCTTCTCCTTTCCCGCCATTAATCACCATCTGTGATGAATATATCCCTTCTTTTGCATCACTATTTCATGCAACATAAGAGTAAGAGAAAAAAAATATTTTTTTTCTATCAGAAGTGTAGAAGGGTTCCCTTTGCTCCACATCCTTGCCAGCACTTGTTTCTGGTCCATCCTATGGCAAGAAGTATGGAGGACCTCAAAATACTGAGAATGGATCTGCCATTTGATCCAGTAATTCCACTCCCAGGCATCTACCCAAAAAATGCAAAAACACAAATTCAAAAGGCAACTTCTACTCCCATGTTTATTGCAGCACTGTTTACAATAGCTAAATTATGGAAATAACCTAAGTGTCCCAGAACAGATGAGTGGATCAAGGAAATGTGGTATATATACACAGTGGAATACTACTCAGTGATCAAAAAAGATAAACTCATGGCATTTGTGGCAATATGGATGGAGGTTGAAGGGATAATGCTAAGTGAAATAAGTCAGGAGGAGAAAGATAAGTACTGGATAGTGTCACTAATATGTGGAATATAAAATAACTAAACAAATAGATAAAGATATACTTAAAAACCAACCCTTGATAGCTGACTACAGAACTGAAGCACCAAGGGGATGCATGAGGGATTAGAACAAAGAGGGAGGGAAGCACAATGGTCTGTGGAGTTGGAATGTGGGTGATTTGGTGGTGGGTACACTACAGTGGTAGTACCTGATGGTGGGATCCCAATATTAACTCAATTAAATATCTAAATAAAAAGAAAATAATGTTTTTCTGTAAGACAAACCTAAGTGTTTCATAGTTTGACTCAGTTGCTGCCTTCTTTGGTTATGCCCCTTAACTTCACTAAGTTGGTTATGCCCCATAACTTCCCTAAGTCTCTTTTCTTGGCTGTTAAATGGGGATAATTCTACATACTCTTCAAAAGCCATTGTAGAAATTACATGACAAAAAAATTAACCTAATTAGACCACATAATCATTTCTTTATGATTTCCAGTTTTTTCTCTGGTATGAAATCATACCTGTTAAGCATATTCTAATAAATTTATTTCTGATAATTTCACCCTGTACATTATATCAAGAACAGCAATCACAGTTACCATTTATTCATGTAGATGATCATGTACCTGCTACGTACTACCTACCCAATGAAACACTTTACAAACATATCCAAAGAATAGTTTATTGTCTTCTTTTTCTAGATTTGGAAAGTAAGGTCTGGAGGAGTTAAATGATACCCAATGTCCATTAGCTATTAGTAGCAGCAAATGCTGGAAAACATTCTTTGTAATGACGCACCATAGGAAAACAGATCCCCTACAGCTGTGCCAA